AAGAATGATTTAAACTTAAATCGGTATAGCTTTTTTGAAAGTACTGTAGTTTTATCCTTTACCATAAAGCTCTATGTCTTTTCTCTCAATTAACATCCTCCACTGAAAGGATTTTTGAAAGTGCAAATTATTTTTATCTACATTTTAAAAGTTCACATGAAGTGTACATGCAATCAAGAGATCCATCTTGTAGGTAGTCTACAGACAGGGCTGGAAAAGTTGGAAATACCTTCTTCATTACGGATTGTGGGAGTTGTTTTTCCTGCGATATCTGACGAAAGTACTAAAGATTTGTGTGGTTATGTGTACTTTGATAAACAGGAAATGAATGAATTGTAAATTTACGATTGTCTAATAATTAAATCATCAGCTCTAAACGATTGATTTTTTCTCTCGATATATCTTCTTTTGTCTTTGGAAAACAAACATTTTTCAACACAATGATATTAGTCAAAGAACATATCGATCTTAAAAATGATATATGCATTATTAAACGCCTATTCAGTGTATATAACTCACTCCAGATGTATACAATACAGGTGTAATTAGCAACAGACAAGGAGACTACAGGAGGGGACTTACGTCATATGTTGGTGTTAAACATATTGCTGGAAAAAAAACATATCAAATAACCTGGACTCATCCAGGTTTTGTGATTTCGGAACTCCACACACAAAACCTTGACATTGTGAGGATGACCTTGACTTTGTAACCCAATTGGATGAAGGTCACGGTAAATAAACGAAAATCAAACCCTTCTAATAAACTTTGATTTCATTTTTATGGCTTCTTCTACTTCAACATTCCCAATACATGTAAGTTTATTATACTCAAGGATAAAGTGCGTTGCATATCTTTATGCTTATACATTTCTGCACATATAGCAGTTTATGTTACAATTTCATTTCAAATCGATATTTTTGGCGTATTAACTGTGACCTTATTGGCGGCAAAAGTTCATTTCAATACTCAGCACTTTATAAATAGCATATTATTACTGCTTAATTAAGATACCCGAAAAAAAAAAAATAAGTGATTTCAGACGATATAACTTGGAAAAGGTTGTGAATGTACGTAAAATAGGCATATTTAGCAATTTATTTGGAGTTTTATTTCGGATTAAAACATTTGATCATTGATATGCTTTTATCTATACATATGTGCATTGTTATTTATAATATGATCTTTTGTAATGTTGACTTTAAACGAGATTGTTGATATCCTTGCATTATCAATGTATTTATCAATAGTCTTCTTAGTTTTAGAAATTTTCCTTACGTAGAACATGCTCTCTCGCATTGATTTAACTTGTACATGTAGCCATAATTTTCATATGCAGGTGATTATGGTTTTCATATATAAAGGAAATTATTATAATTCTACTGATTTTTCACTATATAAGAGTAAATCGATATATTTTGCTGATACCCTGATTCCATTAAAAGACTGATTCCCTGCAAAAAAGGTGCGTCAGTTTGATGAACTGATACACACCTATTCGGAACACCGAGCATTTTCTTTAAACTATATGAAAAGTACCGATATGTTCCAAATAAAATCATGAATATTCATAATGCAGCTCAGTTAAAGTTACATAAGGAGTCGGGGCCTAATATTTATACGGGAAAGAGTAACTTGTTATTGTGACGTCAAAATGGTAAACTGATGTGCACTGAGAGTTAGACGGAATCACGTAACTTTGTCACAGTGTATATTGTTTATAAAATAAACAAAGTTGCTTGCATATCTATACAAGTATTTTATAGACCATTGATTCAAATGCAAAGACCTTTCATTGAATTTATTTATTTTATCTACATTCTGTGTAATCAATTTTTCCATTGCGCACCTTATACAGGTAATTGCACTGCGCAAGAAATAAAGTTGCAGTTGCGGGTTTTGAAAATAGTCTAATTTTGGTATCGGTATAATAAAACAGTTAAAGTACATGTATATCATTGAGGGAGTCAGCAAGATTCCAGTTCCCCTCTAGCAAGCCTATTTCCCTCTGCTGCGCCTCGAGAAACAGACTTGCTCTTGGGGAACTGGAATCTTGCTGACTCCCTCAATGATATACTTTAACTGTATAATGACGATAAAAAGAAAATAGAGACCGTGTTATTTTTTATTTGAAAGTTTTCACCACTCGATCTGCTAAAATATCAAGTTTTAAAAAAGATTATAAATACTTACATGTAATTATATGTTTATGAAAGTTAAAAATGACGATTGAGACAGTCGAAGCATGGAATTATAAGCCTGACATAAAATCGGAAAAACACTTTATTCCCATAGGTTTCTTACTTGTCCCTCATCAGATTCAAACTTAAAGATGTGTTATTGTTGCTTTTGAAATATGCATATATGGATCAGATTCAAACTTAAAGATGTGTTATTGTTGCTTTTGAAATATGCATATATGGATCAGATTCAAACTTAAAGATGTGTTATTGTTGCTTTTGAAATATGCATATATGGATCACCAATCATCAGTTAGTTAAAAGTTAAACTTATTTTATACTTACCTGTAAATCCTGAAAAATGTGTTGCAAATTTAATATGCATCTGTTGTGACAAGTATATAGTGTTTTAAGCGATGTTAGAGATCTGCATTAAGCATTCAGGGAATTGTGTGTTTGGATGCTAGATCAGGTTTTACTTAAGACCTCTATTTTATTCATGTTTCTTGCTTAAGAAACACGAATTCAAATGTAGAAACTCGAACATGTAACTTTTCAATGTAAAACTCAAATATCCAATCAAAATTTTGATAGTAACTTAGTTTGAAAACACTGATATGATTTTTTGAAGCTTAAAAGTTTGAATAAAGGAAAATATGATAGAAAGCAAAATGAATCATTTACAGTTAAAAATAGTTATAGCAATGTCATAAAGTAATCTAATATTGATATTGAACATTCTGTAAACCAGAATGTGCTATCATACATTATGCTTATGAGCAAAGTTATCTTCAAAAAAGAGAATTGATGCGTATTTGAAATATGTACCAGCACATAATGCAGAGCTACATGTTGTACAAAATCATTACAAGACACCAATCTCAGTTAAAAAAAGAAAAAAAATCTTTATTTTGTACTAACTATTAATGTATATGCTTCAGTGGGTATCAGATAACAAGAGGCCCATTGGCCACAACGCTCACCAGTGTTAAGATGGACCTTTTGTTCTACATTTTTTTCTTTTTCCTACATATTCTTATGTAAAACTTTGTTCATGTATTATGGTCCCAAGGCAGGTGTCATGATTAGAGCAAACGTTAATCTACAGTACCTGAGGATGCTTCTATATTAATAAGACTAATCTTGAGAAGAAGACTTTTAAAGATTTTTCCAGTGTATTCCTATAGAAAACTTTGCACATTGTGGCCCCCACCTATTTCCAGGGGTCATTATTTGAATATATTTGAACTACACTACCTGCGATTTTACGTATGATTAATCATGGCTTCTCTGTTCTTGAGAAAATTTTTAAATGATATTTCTTATACATTCCAATTTAAAACTTTGATCCACTTGTTGTGGCCCCACCCTACCCCCAAAATGTTGAACCTTTGTTGTGGTCCCTGCTACCACGAGGGGTTATGATTTGAACAATCTTGAATCTGCACTACTGTAGTATTCTTTCCTTATTAATATGTCTAATCATGTCTTTGCTGGTCTTTAGGAGATTTTTTTTTTTTTTTTTTTTTTTTTTTTTACAAATTTTTCATATATATTCCTTAATAAACTTTGGTCCCCTTTGTTGTGGCTCTGCTCTACTTCCGGTGTTCATGATTTGAACAATCTTGAATCTAAGAAACCGGAGGATGATTCTATAGTAATATAACTAATTATGGCTTTGCTGTTCTTGAGAAGAAGATTTCTTAATGAATTTTCCTATATATTCCTATGTAAAACTTTGATCCCCTGTTGTGGCCCCATCCTACCCCTGGCGGTCATATGCATGATTTGAACAATATTGAATCTACAGAATGTAATGAAGCTCTCACATTAGTTTAACCTATTATGGCCCAGTAGTTCTCAAAAGATTTTTAAAAGATGCCGCCAATTTTTCACGAAATTTTAATTATCTTCCCTTGAAAGAAGATGTTGCACTTCCTGTGAATAAACTAAAATTCCCCTTACCCAAAGATGCTTTGTGGCAAGTGTGGTTAAAATTGGCCAGGTGGTTCTGGAGAAGAAGTAAAAAATGTGAAAAAATTTACAGATGATGGACGATAGAAGACACAGACGACAGGCGACAGACAAGTGCCAAACACACTTCGATCAGAATAACCCACTTGAGCCTTTGGCTCAATTAAGCTAATAAATGTACAAAAAAACTTTATAAACAAAGTTGAGGAGAGAAATATGGTCCAAAAACTTCATTCTGTTAAAATCTTTACATTTCATAGGTATTTAGATGTACAGACATCTCTAAGCATAGTTGCAGAATTACTTGTTTAGAAATAGCTATACTTTTTCTCAATTAGCTAGCTTTTTGAAATGTTTGATCATATATTGCAAAGCCCTCATTAACTCATATCCCATATTTTTAGCAAGAACAAAAAAGATTGCGTTGTATATTTAGAATCAATTATCAACAATGAAAGTTTATATTACTTATATACATATACCCCTCACATAATTAGCCTACATCTTATTACTCCCACTCTTTTTTCTGTTGACTTTGTATTCTTGTGAGATTTCCCTTATAATTGAATGAGGAATCTATAGGAAAAATCTCTCCCTACATCCCATATATTATCTAGAAAGTAATGAATTAACCATGGACTCGGTGTCGACAATGTGCTAGCCTTGTTATCACCATTCCCTTGTTACAAATATAGCTTATCTGCTCACCGAAACGCAATCATGTTTAGGTTAATAATTCATTCATACTACAGATGATGACGTCCCGTAAAAAGCCAATCATCGTACGAGTTAATAATTTATTAAAAAGCTCGCAGAGTCGTAACAAAAAGCCAATCGAATGTTTCGGTTCTTTCATTTACTTCACGACCACACGGCGGCAGCAGCACTTTGAGGTAAGAGTCGTATTAATCAATGATATTTCCATTTGTTTTCTACTTTTTTGGTTTAAGTATACAAGGCATTTTTATTTTCTCGCAAAAACTACTTAATATCTGGGTTTATTTTTTGGATGTTAGATAGAATTTTGTTTAATTTGAATAAAAATCTTTAAACTTTTTAAAACTTTTTGTAAAAGTTTGTATACTTAGTCAATGTTATATTATAACCTAATGAATGACATAGAAAAAAGCAACTTTATATATTTCATTCCAGCTTTTTGGGCTTAAAATTTACCGATTGTTTTATATTCTTTGACAACTTGCTGAAGTTTTTCCCCCTACTTAAGACATGGTATATAAAAAGGTCTTCTACATATATTTGACTATACGTATATAAAACAACCAGTAACTATTAATGTGCTTGCAAAAAGCAAAATTCATGAACTGCATAATTCACCTTCACAGAATGTAGAAATGATGAGAAGTCCAAATAATGTAAATGTACATTTTATTTTAGTTCGTTATGGAAAAAAATGAAGTGGAATTATTAGCAGGAAATTAAAAACAACTTGAACATTTATTGCGTTTTCAAAATTCTGTATACATAATATTAATGCGAGAAGAATCATGTGTACATCTGATGTTTTCAGATAAAAGATAATTTTGAATGAACAACTCATCAAATATACATTAAAAACTATAATTATTTTGGCATAATGCCAACTTTCGAGAATTTATACGAAAAGATAGTAATGCTGTAATACACAGGAAGAAAGGCCCAAGTATAGTCTCATTTATTTATTTCAGGGAAAAAACTTTCACCTTTGATTCGAATTTCTAAAACATCTGTAAATATAATCATAATTAATTTGACCTTAGCATTTTGTGAAACATCTTAATTATCTCCCCTAGGAGTGCTTTAATAACGGAAGCGAAAGATTCCGCTTGTAAAGCCTCATGAATTACTGTGCCACTAGTTCTAACAGGCTAATATAAGGTTTGTGTTCCAAGCAAGTATTTGATAATCGCAATAATAGAACAACCATTCCATGCAATGTTACAGACGTAAACATATTAAATGACTAATTGCATTTCCTGTAGTGACTGCAGTTGACTTATTGGGTAAATAGTTGATTAATAATTAACTAAAATAACGATTTTGTAAATGGAAAAAGTAACTTTGTTAAACACTAACGACATAAAGCTTCTCGATGCCTACAATATATGTACACAATATACAGAAAAGCATATAACATATAATATTATAACATATAACATACAATATTATAACATATAACATACAATATTATAACATATAACATACAATATTATAACATATAACATACAATATTATAACATATAACACGCAAATTTTGTTCCGTGACTTTTGATGAGATCAACTCGTGACTATACGGACCAGACTCGTATAGTGACAAGTAGGCAATAAGCTTTTTATCAAATAATCAGGAATTGTTCAACACTTTTGACGATTTATAGTTCTTGACTCCAACAAATTTCAACACACATAATATAATGTGTTATTTAAGAACATACCATTATTATATCTCAACAGTTAAACAACTAGCTGTCTTATCATGAGTAGCCTTCACTTACACAGAAAAAGATTATTCTTTATTTGTCGGAAGAAAAAAAAAAAACAGACATCAGGGGTCTGATTTACAAAACGGACTTCAAACTTTGAATTTTTTTTTGCAGAACTATTTTATTAATTAAATTATTTACGTCTTCTATGTACGATTTTTGGAAGATATGTATGAAACAAAATTAGAATTAGGAATTATTTTGATTTAATTCATTTTTTTGTTTTTGTTTTGGTTGTATTGTAAAATTCCTTCCACATTAAGCAATGTACGAGAAAATTTAAAAAACAGTTATCTTTAATACTTTATCATGTCTAAGAGGAACCTTGGGTATTCTGACATTATTGCAATCAAAAGAGAGCAGAGATCGAATCATGTTCCTTATCTTCCTCTTTTTCCTTTGAATGAGAAATATAAACTAAAAATCCAAATTTAAACGGAGATCACTTTCAGATAATTTTAATTATCTAATCAAAAGAAAGGTAATTATGAAATATATATATATATATATATTTAGATGAATAGAAGTTCTTTTAAAGTGAATCGTATAAAGTGAAATCAAATATTATGATTCATATACCTGTATTTTCAAAAATACTGAGTATTTGTGATTTTATAATGTAAAGAAGCACCCACTAGAACCAATTTGTTGGTTTTCCAGATTTTAATACCAGTCTTTAACTGCCTTAATTTTTTTGATATATATAAAAAGATATAGTCTCTTTCCTTTGTGCTCATAGATATTAATATTCTTCTATTTGTGAAGGTTGTAGGAACATAGAAAAATTAGGTTTTTGATTCAAAACATAAAAAGCAAATATATCTTTCATGAATCGTGCATTTATTATTAATTCAAAAGTATAAGCAGCCATTTTATAATATAAAAATTTCCTTAGGGTCTTATCCCACATCATGGCAATTCCACTGTGGGACGTGGAGACCGGTCCTTCGGATGAGACCGTATAAACCGAGGTCCCGTGTCGCAGTAGGTGCTGGCTTTAAAAAGATCCCTCACTGCTCAATGGCCGTCAATAGGCCAAAATTTTCGGCTCTCCACCGGCAAGTGGTGGCGTCTCCATATGAGTGAAAAATTCTCGAGAGAGACGTTAAACAACATACAAACAAACACCTCATGAGAAACCATTAAGTACGAAGCTTATGGTAATCAAATATGTATGTACTGATGTCCAAAAGAGTTGTATAATCGAAGTGTGATCGGAACTAGCAAAGATCTTTCAATTCTCATGACCTATGTCGTATGTGGACATATTTAACGTCTCATTTTATTTAAATATACTTCACAGTCATCTTTGGTATTTCAGAATTCAAAATAAAAGAATCATATTTTCATATTGACAATGCATCTACTTGATTACATTTTGCAAAAAAAATTCGAAAAATCATGGTGAAATTCTTCTCCTCCCTACAAAAGATATGGCGTTAGCTTTGCATTATTTTAAGTGTGGGGGGGGGGGGGGGGGGCGCAGGTTTGTTGTTTGTTGGATATGATCTCCTTCAGTTTGTTTTATTTTTAGATCCTTCATTATTATAAAACGATTTTTCGGCCATACTCATACATATATCATACGCATATTACTTTAATAGTAGAGTAAAATGTTTCTTCACTGATGTACTATGTTTGTGTTTTTGTGTTTGTATAAGGGTATGTGTATAAATTAACATTTGTTTAATATGAAATTTTCAGAAGTACATTTTCCCCACTTTTTGAACTCATATATCGACGTAGTGAAGAATTCTATAAAAAAGCTATTTGATAACTCTTATTTTGTGTGCAAATCACCTCTATGATATATTAGTACATTGCATCAAATATTTATTATGCATTTCCTCGTATGTGCTTCTCAAAAAAAGTCTAGGTCTCTAATGTATATTATTGATTGTCAATTCAAATGCCTTATGGATCAATTGGAAATGTACAAACAGTGCATCGGATGCAAAACATCATTTACGCATAAAGAATTCTAAAGCAAAGTAAGCGGAATGCAGTTTGAAGATTCAGAAAAAAAAAATAGTAGAGGGTTTTATACAGCAATTCTAGAATAAGATTATTCACCCAATTAAAACATGTTTATTCCAGAATGTTCATTACAATAATAAAGTGAACTTAAAAGAGAATTAGTCAGAAACACATTAAAACATCTCAATAATAAATTTGAATCAATATTGATCGTATGCATCACTTCCAAAATCTTTTGAGATACGGACTATTTGAGATCAAAGAAAGAAGTCCTTTCTGAAATGAAAAAGGGAATCAAATTTGGAATTTTAAAATTGTTATGTAAAAAAGAAAGAAAATGGCGTAAACTTTGGAGAAACGGTGCTAAGGTTTTGTTATGTAGAATTAATATGTTTACAGAATTAAAAAATGTCAGGAAAAAGGATCATTTTGTTTTACTCTCATAATTCTTAAATCAACTTGAAGTAACGAAAGTTCACTTTCTTCCTTCTGTTTGCAAACGCCAAAATGGAAGAATACTTCACGAGGACAATGCTTAGTTCCAACCTCCTTCCTCTCTCTCTCTTTTCTGTAATTATTTTCTTCTGTAAAGTAAATCATATACGGTATCAATTTTGATGCACCAGATGCGCATTTCGACAAATTATGACTCTTCAATGATGCTCAAGCCGAAATGTTGGAAATCCAAATATTTAAATAAAAAAGACTGGGAATAGCTGGGAAAAAAGTGCCAAAGACTGGAGCCAAATAGAATAACATTTGATATATCAAGGAAGACAAGCGTTCTTTTCTGAATAATACAGTGAAACTGGCAGAAACCAGAAGAAGTCAATCGTCTTTTGATAATTCACTATAGCGATATAATAAAAGTAAAGAACACTTGAATGAACCATAAGCAATGTTTTTTCAGCTCTCTTTTTAGTATTTGCGTAACCTGAATTCGCACAGTTGAACAGGCACATTCATTGAAGTAAAAATTAGATCAAATCCATTTAAATATAAGAATAAAAGATGAAAAAGTCAGAAAGACCAATTAAGCAATATTTCACATTAAACCTCAGAGTGATCAGTATTACATGTCTCCATACATCCAAGTAAGTGTTTATGTGTTAATAATTTATATTCAGGATTACAAAAAAGGTCTGTAAAATCCACTTCAGTAATGAGGCTTGATAACATCAAAATGCATAAATCAAACAAGGTTGGTTGAGCACGGACGGTTGAAAAATATTAATTTTTTGTGTTCTTGTTTCAATACAATGAAACAATTTTTACCAGCTTCTTATTGTATTTGAATGGTTTTTTTTTATTGTTTTGATTCATTTTGTTGATAAGTTGTAAATAATATAAATATTATTCATCAAAACATTAACCAGTTTATATATATGGCTATGTCATGTAAACATGATAGACATTTACTCAAAGTTGGAACCCTT